TGCTTTCAATCAGCAGAAGAGGACCTGATAGAAAAATTCAGGTCCCCCTCTGCTGATTGACAGCAGCAGTGGGCGGGTGCATTAGCTAGTTTGCTATTGGCTATTGCAAAGTGCAATAGCCAATAGCAATCTAGCTATGCAATCGTATGCCTTTTTTTTTCTTTTCTGACTGACGGTCGGGCCGCGGCTCCCGATGTCAGAAAAGAAAAAAAAACGATCGCAGGGAAAGGTTTAATCTGCTTGATAGAGCAGATTAAACCTTTCCGGGAGAAAATGTTTCTCTCCCGGGTGGCCGGGAGCCGCTATCTAATAGCGGGAGACTCCCGGAGCTTCCGGGAGAGTTGAGATGTCTGCTATAGTACAGAAAGGGGATCCACAGAACAGCAGAGGCACTTAGTTGGAGGCACCATGTGGTGTTTGACGACTTAAAAATAAAAGCTTCTTTTAGTAAATCAACCTTAAAGCAGACCTTGCACTTAAATAGTAAAGTCTGCTTATTTAGTGTGGTCCTCCTCTCCCTTGACAAAACGTTCCAAAAACCGGGGGAAAAAACCTGAGGTAGAGAGTGTAAGATAATATAAAACCTTCTCCCGGCTTCCACCCACTGTGCCTAGACAAGAGTGACATCATCATTCTTCTTGCAAGATCCCCGAAAATACTGAGTAGCTGAAATCTTGGAAGAAGATGACCTGCACAGTGCTGCTGAGTCTTCTTGCGAGTATCCAATGAGATCCCTCAGGGCCTCATTGACGGTATGGTGACATCACTCCCTGCACTACAGAAGGAGGGGCAAGGTAGTTATATTTTCTAACTTTTTATCCACCCACAGGTGCTTTTTTTTAAAGTTTAATGCAGCATTTCAGCAAGAGGAAGGGAGGCCACAATAAACAAGTGAATCACGCATGGAGTACAAGGTCTGTTTTGCACATTACAATACATTGAAGCTGAAACATATTAGAAGATCAGATCTGCTCTCCAAAGAATTATGCTAGTGCTTCGGTCTTGTTATAATTAGAAATAAACACCCCTGAGAGGAGGAAATGATGCTACATTTTCTCTAAGCAGTTTTGTAAATTAGGCACGCAATTTCCTAAAACAGAACAGATCACAATGGTGCAAACAGTACAGGCATTGAGTATTGCTGGATCCAACCAGTAAAGACAGTAATTGCTGGATCCAACCAGACAGTAAAGCGATGAAAAACGTCCGTTCGTCCGGCACAGCTCAGTGCAGTGACATCAGAAGCTCTGCCCTACGTACGTTATGTCAAAACACGTGACTTCATCAGGGGTTTATTTAATAAATTGCACTTTATTGGACGTAACGCACTCCTTGTCCTTTTTCTCTTTCCCCCTGTATTTTTTTTGGTACCTGTGATCTGAGGAGATTTTTTCAGTGCATGGGCTTCCCTCCCCCATTAAGAAGGGAAAAAGCGCATTTGACCTAGCTCTGTGGGTCTGCCTCCCCAGTTGAGCACTCACTTGTTATCATCACTCACTGGGTGGAGGAAGGTCTGCCTGCATTGTGTGATTATTCTTACCTGAGAGTTGCATGCAGATTGGCTATGAATCATCTAAGGCAGTGCTCCCCAACCTTTTTATCGCCGCGGACTGGTCAACGTTTAATAATTTTACCGTGGCCCGCTGAGGGGGGGGAGGTCCGCGGACCGGGGGTTGGGGACCACTGATCTAAGGAATAAGGATGGGCTCGGCGTGTTCGCAGCTCCATGTGCCGAGCCCGCCAGGAAGCTGACAGCGCGAGGCGCCAATCACAGGCACTGAGACATTTCCCGATCTCTGCAGCTGCGGACCGGGAAAATGTCTCAGTACCTGTGATTGGTGCTGCGTGCGGTCAGCTTCCTGGCAGGTTTGGCACGTGGAGCTGTGAACACGCCCGAGCCCATCCTTACTAAGGAATTTCCTTGCACGATCACCATTGTTTCCTTTTTTTTCCTGGGACTCTTTGTTTTTGTTGCTTTTTTTGTGTGTAGATATTTTTTTATGCCTTATTTGTTTGAAGGCTCATATATGCGATTCATTTAGGTTTCATTGTATTAGATGTGTATGATTATTAGCTCGGCACAATATTGTTTTTCACAACTATGTAAGACTGGCTTTCCCTCACTTTGGAGAGGTTTGCTCTTACTTCCTGATGTCCATCTGCTTTCCTGCCTATGGAACAGGAATTAAAGGTAAATCTCCCCAGTAGGTTATATGAGCTTTTACTCCTTCCCTACTCAGTCCAAAACTAAATTTTTTCTATAGATATACTAGAAGTGTGGAAGTTTACAGCTTTTAGAAGAACCTAAAAACTTGAAGCAGCATATCTGTAGGTCTGTAATCACATCAAATATGCTGTGATTACAGACATACAGCAAAAGAAACAGGGTGACAAGGCTGCGTAAACGAGTGCATCCAATCAGTTTGCACAGGTTTACTTGGTAAAATTCAAGCAACTACATTTAAATCAATAATTACTAGAGGTTCTTTTTGTCATGAAACAATACAAGTTCCAAAATGCTAATGTACGCCTTTTCCAAACATATCATAAAGATGCAGAATCGCCATTTAAATGTCTTCTCTATGCTACATGAAGCATTTTATTTTACTCACATTTTATATCCAATGTAAAAGGATACCTAATATCATTCTCCAAAGCTGGATGCTTTACAACACAAGTTATGTTTCTTCTTCTTGCAAATCTTGTAGGGACCAGCTTGTATTGGCTTATGACTGTGACAGTTTTGTTTGTAAAGATTGTGGAATTCACTTCTGCCTTTCCAAGAGCCTCTTCCCAGCTCACCTCTGCAGCAGGTTTTCCTGTAGCAGCTGTACAGATGGCTGCTACAGTTTCATTTGCACCATCCATTAAAGAATCAGGTCCTTTAGTTATACTCACAGTTGGTTCAACTAAAATAAAAGGAACAAATACATGTTAAACAATTTAAATTGATGGAGTACATAAAACAGTTTACTGGCCATCTTAATAAAACACAAAAGGCTTATTAGAGGATGTTTTGGCAATGCAACCAAGAAAGCTGAGACCCTGGAATAGCTCATCTTTGTTCCAAGTATCCTTGGAAAAGAGAACCCCTGTCTCTTAGCTGGCTGAAAAAAATATCATCAGTTATATTCGCCAGATGTTCTCCTATTATGATTATGCATTATTTAGGAGAGAATAAACTTGATAGGTTGGCTTGCTGGGTGCAAACTCCAGTCACCCATTGGCTGACAGCAGTAGTTCTGTCAAAATTAAAATTTTTGATCACAGTGGTACACCGATAATGCTGTAGGAGTAGGAAGCTGGAAGGGCAGAGGAGTGTGCTTCCCTCTAACTCCTTCTGGCAATGTAAGACAGAAGCACTGGATATTTTTTTTTTTTAGCATTTTGAACTGAACTAGAGACAGACACTGCAAGATTCAGGATTGGGCTGCTATAGCCACTTGGGGAAAATTGGTATGATAAATTGGATAAAATGGCTGATCCACTGGCGAATTGTTCTGGGGTGACGTACCTGTACGTACTCCCATGAATGCATGCCTGCACTGCGTTCGGCCGCTGCAACTGCTCTCATTAGAGAGCTGTGGTTTACACACAGAGCTGATTGGACTGGCTCTGTGAATACGGTTATCACAGTGATCAATGAAAAAAAAAAAAAAGTTTAAAATAATGACACTCCCCCCCTGCTTGTTATATCCATTCTGCCTCTCCTCTGACCTGTATATTAACCATTTCACCTCCCTTATCTTGCACATCTATACATTAACCCCTTCATCTCCATACTCCTACAGTATGTGACCTGTACTTTAACCCCATTACCTCTTCCTCCCTTGGTCTATGACTTGTACATTTATTGTACCTTGTGCATGATTACTAAGCTCCATGTTTTAACTCCCTCAATACCGGCATGGTCCGTCATGTCCAAGAAATTGCAGCAAAAATCAGATCACTTTGGAGTGTCGTCTACTTTCCATAAAAGGTAAACTGTCCAGGCATTTTTATTTGCTATGATTTATCAACAAATGTAAAAGAAACAGGTTTTTTTTTAATTTGGTCTTTTTTTACTTTACATAGTAAAAAATAAAAAGTGGTTACTAAATACTAATAGAAAGCTCTATTTGTCCCCAAATAATTATATAAAATAATTTTTTTTTACAACTGGTACAATTTTGTTGCATAATGGAGGAATTCTCAGCCAAACTTGCACAGTGCTGAAAACTGTAAAATGGCCTGGTAATGAAGGGTGTGTAACATGCCGGTACTGAAGTGGTTAAACCTGAAAGTACTATAATGTTACACACTAAGGGGTCTATTTATAATCAATTCCCAGTGTAATTTGTCCTATGAATCTTTCTTAACGCTCGTTCACTGCAAATAGAACCCATGGGCTTCAAACCAGCATCAATGCTTACATTTGCACAGTCGGAATTTTGTAAGATTAGGGTTAGGTGTACGATTAACCAATTATACCAAGCAGGTGCTAATGATCATCAATTTCATATGTAGGTTGAAACACAGTCATTAACGGAAACAGAAACAGCTGTGTAGGAGGCTTAAAACTGGGTGATGAACAGCTAAACTCTGCTACTAAGGCAAGGTTGTGGAAGACAGTTTCATGTCACAGGTCATACACCATGGCAAGACTGACCACAGCAACAAGACACAAGGTAGTTGTACTGCATCAGCAAGGTCTCTCCCAGGCAAAGATTTCAAAGCAGACTGGGGTTTCAAGATGTGCTTCAGTCAAGCTCTTTTGAAAAAGCACAAAGAAACGGGCAAGGTTCACTCTGTGGTTTGCCAAGGAAACAATGCAGCAGATTAGACACATCATGCTTACTTCCCTTCGACATTGGAAGATGTCCAGCAGTGCCATCAGCACCAAACTGGCACAAACCAGTGGGACCCCAGGTACACCCATCTAGTGGCCAGAAGTAGTCTCAATGGAAGAATTGTGGCCATAAAGCCATACCTCTGACGTGGAAACAAGGCTAAGAGACTCAACTATGCATGGAAACATAGGAACTGGGGGTGCAGAAAATGGCAGCAGGTGCTCTGGACTGATGAGTAAAAATTTGAAATATTTGGATGTAGCAGGAGGCAGTTTGTTTACCAAAGGGCAGTGAAGCATGGTAGAGGTTTCTTGCAAGTCTTGGGCTGCAGTTCTGCAATTGGAGTTGAGATTTGGTCAGGATCAATGGTGTCCTCAATGCTGAGAATTACAAGCAGATACTTATACATCATGTCATACCATCAGAGAAGCGTGTAATTGGCCCCAAATGTATTCTGCAGCAGGACAATGACCCCAAAAATATAGCCGATGTCATTAGGAACTATCGTCACGGTAAAGAAGAACAAGGACTCCTGGAAGTGATGGTTTGGCCCCACAGAGCCCTGATCTCAACATCATCAAGTCTGTCTGGGATTACATGAAGAGACAGAAGGATTTGAGGCAGCCTACATCCACAGAAGATCTGTGTTTAGTTCTCCCAAGATGTTTGGAACACCCTACCTGCCGGGTTCCATCAAAAACAGTGTGCAAGTATACCTAGAAGAATTGATGCTGTTTTGAAGGCAAAGGGTGGTCCCACCAAATATTGATTTGGACTGCTATTCTGTTAATTTTCTTTCCATTTTGTTAATTGATAAAGATAAATTATTAACACTTTTATTTCTGAAAGCATTTTTTCACACCTGCCTAAAACGTTTGCACAGTACTGTATATATTTGGAAAATACGTTAAAAAAAGTAAATAAACAATGTAATAAAAATTTGGTCACGTTTCACTATTCACCACTGCTCATTGCAGATGATTGGTAAAGCATGTGCAAAGTGCAGTAACCCACAACGTGCAGTCACCTTTAAAGAAACAAAATAAACTAGCAAGCATACTGAAGGTGAAATCTGGTAGCTTGTTATGGGTTACTCGCTGCATATCATCACTATTATTTGTAATTCCTGTTTAAAGGTTTTTTGTGTTAATCCAAGTAGGTCTACCAGCATGAAAACATAGGTTGCTCTTGCTTCTGTACACATGATGTCTAGCAAACCAAGGCTCAGCAAGGTCATTATTTCTTAAATTGGCCTCAGAGAACACCTGGTAGAAACATCAAAAGCACTGAGCAGGTGGAAAATCCCTGCTCTAATGATGTCCATTAATTCTGGTTATTACTGCTTAAATCTTTTTTTTTTTTTAGTGTATGGCAGAAAACTAGATCTCTCACTCAGTGATGATCTGCAAAAAATATGCCACAAGATTTGCAAAAAAGAAACAGTTGAGTTCATCTGTGCACAGCCCTCAGTGTCTAAGGACAACAGAAAATAGGAAGCTCTAAAGCAAATGGATTTCCCTCTAGTCAACATCCCGTGTTTAAAAAAAAAACCATATTAAGCTATCTACTATTTCCTGCTCAACAGCACTGAATGAAACACTACCCTCTTGAATCTATTTATGGCCCCAGCCATCCAAACTTTCTGTTTACAGTAATAAAAACCAGAGTGTTATATTTTCCACAATAAGGGAAAGTGCTAATGCTGGGGTGGCGACTCTTTGAAATGATACTGGGTGGTTAGAGAAGGGCACCTGTCACATCCAAGGACAAGCTCAAAACAGAAAAAATTATGCAATGGAGGAAAATGCAGGATAACAGATCGCAATGCAGACACATATACTGTATGGTTAGACTACATCCACGGGTGCATTTGCCTAAGGAGAAAAGTTCTGCAACTGCAAATACATCAAATAATGTCAAATATTTTGAGAGATGTTACCATAACTGGAGTTATCTTGGAATTTCTTTACCGAACCTTTGAGGTAACATTTAATTCTTACCGAGCACAGTCACCGTGGTTGCGGACTGAATAGTTCCGAGTGGGAATGTAACTGCTTTGCATATATATTCCCCCGCATCAGAGAAGCCTACATTATTTATCACAATTGTTGCATCATGAAGCGATGTATTTTTAAACATGGTTCTATTCTGATATGATTCTTGAACAGATGTTCCAAAGATAGGGTGGTGGACAACTATGGTCTGAGTAGTCTTGCCAATGTTTTTTTCCCATGAGATCTGGGTTATTGCTTCATTGACCTCAATTAAGCACTTCAAAGTGACATTCTTTCCCCACACAGCAGTCTCCTGTGGATCCACATGTATTGGCCCAGCAATTGAACCTGTAAAAAAAAAAAAAAGAACAAATGATGCAATGTGAAAAGCAGTTATACTGAAATAAATGAGTGGCTAAAAACAAAATTTACAGGTGAGAATCTTTAAAAAAAATGAATGCACTAATAAATGTTGTCAACTTTTTCAATCATCGATTAATCGGCTTCCAATTGGTTGGCCCTGTTCACGGCTCCACCAACGCTGCGCGCCGCACCTCCTCCCCACCTCATGCTCGCCGCTGCCAGACACCCGCCCGCATCCACGCTCGAAACGCCGCACCTCCTCCCTGCCTCACTCTCACCGCACACCCCAATCAACGATCGGCACAGGGACGCGGGGAGAAGAAGTAAGGAGGAGCAGGTGTGGGCGGATGACAGCCGCCGATAGACAGGCCGATCTCAGAAACAAGTTGCTGGAAGACTGCTCAGGTAAGTCCCCCCACATGGTGCTCTATAATGTATTGCTGGGATTTGTAGTCCTCTATAGCTGATGGTATAATATACAGCACAATGTACCATCAGCTATAGAGGAATACAAATCCCAGCAATACATTGTACACTGTATGTGTATTATATTATTGCTGGGATTTGTTGTACTCCTCTATAGTTGGTGGCATTCTGCATTGCGCTGTACAGAGGACTACAAATCCCAGCAATAATACATTATACGGCAATGCAGAATACCACCAGCTATAGAGGAGTACAACAAATCCCAGCAATAATATAATATACATACAGTGTACAATGTATTGCTGGGAGTTGCAGTCCTCTGTAGCTGATGGTATTCTGCATTGCTGTGTAATGTATTGCTGGGAGTTGTAGTCCTCTATAGCTGATGGTATTCTGCATTGCTGTATAATGTACTATTGCTGGGATTTGTAGTCCTCTATAGCTGATGGTATTCTGCATTGCTGTATAATGTACTATTGCTGGGATTTGTAGTCTTCTATAGCCGGTGCCATTCTGCATTGCTATATAATTTTACACTTTTCATGTCACTATATTGCACACCACACACCGCTCCCTGCTTGCTCCTGTGATGGACTGCAATCTCAATACAAACTAGTAGTCCATCCCAGGAGCCATTTTTTACAATTTATTTTTTATCCGATTAATCGAACTTAATAATCGGCTAACTAATCAATTTTGAAAATAAAGTAGAACTCATTCTCTTGATACTGTGGCAAACTGTGTGTACGTTATGCTAAAGTTCCAGTGAGCTAAGACCTCTGCAAAGTGTGTGTGAGCAGTAATTTAATGGGACAGTCTACCGTTTTGCTGAATCCCTAAAACTACTGTCCATATCCTGGGGAAAAACTCAGTAGCCACTGTGAACCTGATGACAGCAGACTGTTGTTTGAAGGTGCAAACACTGCAAGCTATACCACTTAAGTGCACAGCTGTGTATGTTGTGAATCTGCAGCATGGAAGACTTGGCATTACTGCAAGCTAATTCTGCCCAACAACAGGCCACTGCCTCTTAGCAACAGGATCAGCAGCAGAACCTGGCCCAGACCAGCAGCAAGAAACTAATGGACTGTGGGCTGTCCAGTTGAGGCTCAAGTGACTGCAGATAGAGACTGATAGGCCTTGACAGTAGTGGCGCACCAGTTGGCAACTTGAACCTCAGGTCTTTTTACCAGACTATAAAGGATAACAGCCCAAGATAATGTGGAGGCCTTCTTATGCATTTTCTAGGGGGTTGCAGAAGGGCAGGCCTAGTCTGAAGAATAGAGGGCAGTGTTTGTTGTGCCATTGTTATCAGGAGACCAAAAAGCATACTTTGCCTCAGATGATGCCTTGGATAATGAGAAATTGAATATAGAGAACCTGTTGTGTCTGGGGATGACAACCTTGGTGAGGGTGCAGTGGGTCAAAATGCTGCAAGTACTATTTTGATCGCACCGCCCTGGACCGCAGGCATAATGTGCCTTGCCATCCCGTGCAGCCGATCGCATTGCAGCCGGAGGGGGTGGCTACGGTGCCATTTCACTTCAATGGCCCGCCACGCCCCCTCCTGCCCCACAAAAAAAAAAAAAGAGAGAGCCGGCCGCAATGCGATGTAGTGCGTTCTGGCTACAATCAGGCCGGAACACACGGCATCTGGTGTGAAAGAGGCCTAAATCACTTAATGTCCACATGATGTTTATAAACATCATGGATTTGGAAGTGGTTAGAATAAACTCACGGCAGCAGTAGCCAGGAGCTTCATCCAGCTCCGGGCCATCCAGTAAAAATGATCTAGGCAGGTGTAAAGCCATAAATTTAAATTTGTCATATTTCTCTAAATGTTCCTTATTCTAATTTGTGCAATAACCTCAAAGTGAATATTTTTGCTTAATGTAGACCTCTCAGCGATTTTACAAGTCTGCATTAACACGTTCCTGGCATGTCAAAATACACAACATTTTTATTTAAAGAAAAAATATTTAAAAAAACAAACCCTTTTTCGATTAATAGTAGTCATTTTGCGCCTATCTTTGCATAGCCTGAGATAATGTTATCGGTCTGCTGCAAGCAGGAGGAAGCATGTCCTCAGTCTCTGCTCCCCTAAGTGATCAGATTGCAACATTGTAACTGTGTAGCACAGGGTGGTATCCTGCAGCAGAAGCGGTGTCACATGTTTGTGAACACAGCCAAGAAAAGCGCAGACATCAGGATGTCATCTCTGAAACATTATCTTAAAAGTAGGAAGTACAAAGTAGGAAGTACATGCTGACCATACCTGAAGATGTATTGTCAGGGGGAGTACTGTGATCTCTGTTATAGGTAATAAACAACCTATAAGTGTTTACATTATTGAGCATGCGTACACTTAAACATGAAAAAATAAATAAATCAGATGCTTGATCCACTTTAAAGAGAATGTTCATATTTTGAATATTCTAACAACATGCATTGATAATTCTTTCAATATGTGTTATGATTTTAAAACTTGGTTTTTATGTATAACTTGTAAGACCAGCGTTATTTGTTCATTACATATACAAGCACTGCTAGCTGTATTGCAACACTTGCTACTCTATGGATTAGCTTACTCACTGAAAACAAGGTGCATGGCTGACATCTTAACAGTGTAAATGCACATGGGTCTCTATACGATCCACGCTAGTGGCTAATTAATGGTCTAAATTTATTAAAATAATAGCAATATGGTAGGACA